CATAAGGCATTTAACCTATCTGAACCTCAGTTTCCTCATCTATGTCGTTATTGTTGTTCAGTCATTTCAGTAGTGTCTGACTCTTTGTATTCCCATTTAGGGTTTTTGTGACAAAGATACATTTCCCTCTCCAGCTCATTTTACAGATGAGGAAACTGAGACAAGCAGAGTGAAGTGACTTGCCCAGGGTCACACAGCTAGCAAGTATCTGAGGCTGGTTTTGAACTCAAGCCTTCCTGACTCCAGGACTGGTGCTCTATGCACTGCACCACCTAGCTGCCCTCCCCTTCTATAAAATGGGACTAATAACAGCATTTATCTCTCAGGGATTTGTGAGCATCTAAGGAAAGAATTATGGCTTGTGCTTTGCAACCTTTAAAGCACCATATAAATGGAAGCCATTATAGCTATCTTTATTAAGTTGCACCACATAATCTTATCTTCTCTTACTTTATAATTAGGATGAATATATTTTCTAAAGCAACAATCAAAACAGGTAGTCTGCCAAAGGATCATCCCTTTACAAAGCCTTGGAGCTGTCCTGGCAAATCAGGGACTTATGATTACAAACTTTTACTATTTTCAAGTAATTGTCTAAAAGTGGACGTTGTCTCTCAAGGAGTCATAGTGTGGTGAAAAGAACAGTAGACTTTGAGTTAGGGAAGACTTTGCTTTGCATATCACACCTCCAACACTTACTTACCCGTGTCATGGGCAAGTCGCTTGCAGCAATCTGAGCTTCAGTTTTCTCAGTTACAAAGTATAGATACTATTACCTGTAATGGAGGCAGCTAAGTGACCCAGTGGTAAGAGAGCTAGGCCTGAAGTCAGGAAGGCCTGAGTTCAAATCCAGCCTGAGACACTTAGTACCTATGTGACCCTGGGTAAGTCACTTCCCCCTGTCTACCTATGCTTCCTCATCTGTAAAATGAGCTAGAGAAGGAAATGGAAAGCCACTCAAGCATCTCTGCCAAAAAAAAAAAAGGAAGAAAAACCAAACAAACAAAAAACCCTATATGAGTCATGAAGAGTAGGAAACAACTGAACAACATTAAGATTTACAAAGTGCTTTATAAGTTATCCCATTTGATCTTCCCAATGACCCTGTAAAGCAGGTGCTATTAACATCCCCCATTATACAATTAAGGAAACTGAAGCTGAGAGAGGTTAGTGGGTTGCCAAAGGTCAGATAGCTAGTTAAGTGCCTGAGGGAGGATTTGAATTCAGGTTTTCCTAACTCCTCGTCTAGCACTCTATTCCCTGTACCACCTAGCTGCCTCTAAGTGGGTCTTATTGGAATTAATTTTTTTAAAGCAGATTTTCTATTATAGTTATTTGAAAAATATTTAGGTTAATTTATCGACACATTTTCACATTAAATATCAAATGCAATGAAATTCTGCTACAGACTTTCCTAATAGAGGATGAAACTGATTTTTAAATTAAAATATTCATTATTCCTGACTGTAAGATTTGCAGCAACCTCCATAGTCACAGGCAAGTTTGGAAGAGGAGTGGGTTATGGGGGAAAGATGTGACCTGTCTTCTTGCCCTCTAATAAGTTGAATACTTCTTTCTTAGAGTAAGGCCCTGGCTTCAGGTCTCACTCCCCTCCTACCCCCTTCCCTACTTTGGAGACCACTAGTCACTGTGACTATAGTAAATAGTAAAGCACCTCAACAAGCCTAGTGGTTCATGCCTGTAATTCCTGCTGCTGGAGAAGCTGTGGCTGGCGGGATTGTTTGAGCTTGGGGGTTGTGAGTTATAGTTGGGATTAAAGTCCATCATGTATCTGAACTAAGTCTAGTACCGATATAATGAACCCCTAGGAGCAGAGGGCCACCAGATACCTAAAGAGGAGCGGTAAAATGGCATAGGTCAGAAACTGAGCAAGTCAAAACTTCCCGGTCATCAGGAGCGGGATCAGGCTGGTGAAGGGACATTGTATTCCCAGATTGGGTAAGATTAGGAGACCAAGACTCAAAAACTAATTCAAAAAAACAATGTATATTCTGAAAATGAAAGGGATCTAATGACATTATAGTTGTTTTATGGCTGAATTTGGGGGTGGGGAATGGAATTGCCCTTATGTTACAATTGCTCAATAACGCTCATTTTTTAAAAATATCAAAGGATCATATATTTTAGAGTTAGACTATAGGGACCATCTGTTTTAATGCTCTCATTTTATAGATAAATAAACTGAAGACCATAGAAGGAGAGTGATATACCCCAGGTAGAAGAGGAATTCTGACTCCAAAGTCAGTGATTCTTCTATCACTCCTCAAACTTCAAAATTTCTTTAGTAACATCCTAGATGTTAATGTCCAGCAGAGTGCACCAGGGATATGTGACTCGAGGCTGGTTAATATTTTTATCAATATTTTGGTTGGAGGCTGAATGGCAGGAGTATCAGATGTACAGAAAACACAAAGCTTGAGGGGCAGTGGGGGACATGAGAGGAGCAGCTGGTACAGAGAGCTAACACAATGGATGCCAAAGCCAGGAACAGGAATGGAAAAGCATTTGACCAGCTAGACTGCTGGGCTAAATCTAATTAAATGAAATTCAATAGGGATAAATTTCTTAAACTTGGGTTCAAAAAATAGACTCGACAAATACAAGACAGTGGAAGCATGACTAGATATTAGTTTATCTGAAAAATATCTGGGATTTTAGTAGATTGTAAGCTCAAAATGAATCAGTATGAATAGACTCCAAAAAGTAACTATGAGCTTGGACTCCATTGAGATGCATAGCTCCCAGAAATGAGGCTGTTACTATACTCCGACCCAGTTAGACCACATCTCTACTAGTATGTTCATTTCCAGAGGACACAGGCAGAATACATTTATAAACTGGAGAACATCCACAGGACGGCAACCAAAATTGGGAAAAACATCAATTCTTGCCATATGAAAATTTGTTGAAGGAAATGGGAGTGTCTAATCTAAAGAAGAAAAAGAACACAAGAGCTATGTTCACTTATATGAAGGGCTGCCATGTCGAAGAAGGATTAATCTTGTTCTGTTTGGCACCAGGTGACAGAGATAGGAACAATCCATGGCAAGTTACAGAGACAAATTTAGGCTCAATAAGAGAGAAAAAAAAATTCTTAAGTGATTAGAGATGCCACAAAGTGGAAGGGGCTACCTTGAGGTAGTGGGTTTCCCCTTATCCTAGCTCTTCACTCAGGGGCTGGATCTACCACCTAAAGGAATATTTGTAATACGGCTTTCTTTGGGGGGAAGGGTGGGACTGGATGGCCATTGAGGTCCCTTTCAACTTTGAAATCTATGATTCTGTAATTGAAATGGGCAACTAAGTGGTGCAGTAGGTAGAGTGCCAAAGGGGCAGCTAAATGGTGCAGTAGGTAGAGTGCCAGGACTAGAGTCAGGAAGACCTGAGTTCAAATCGAGCCTCAGATACTTCTGAGCTTTGTGACTCTGGGGAAGTCACTTAACCTCTATTTGCCTCGGTTTCCTCATCTGTAAAATGGGAATAATAATAGTACCTCCCTCCCAAGGTTGTTATGAGGATCAAATGAGATCATAATTATAAAGCACTTAGCACAATTCCTGGCACATAGTAAGCCCTGCATAAATGTTAGCTGTTATTATGATTATAGAATCTTAGTGCTAAGAGATCACAGCAATTATCTAGTCCCCCTGTGGCCATCACAGCCTGTTGGGGCCCAAAGCAGCTCCATTGACCTTGAAAGATGGCCTTCATTATTCTATTAGTCACACACACACACACACACACACACACACACACACACACAACACACACACACACACAGGTTTTTACCTGATCAGCCAGCCTGCATGAACTAACAATAGGTCAGTAGGGTCTAACAAAGTCCCCAGTGCTCCTATTCTGTGACTGCTACCAGGTGTCTTGCCAGCAGGATCAGAACAGTCAATAGTTCTAATTGAAGTGGGATGTAATTTAATTATATGCTTAAATTCATTTGACCCACCCACAGGCATGTAGCCCAGGCCTTCTTCTGTTTCATGGTCCTGTTGGGATATTTGACTATTAAAATTCATAGCTTTGAACCCCCACTGATATATCTCTCTATACTTCATCAAGCCAGATAATATCTATTTTCAAAGCAAAGACATTTAATTAAAAGAGAATGGCATGGTATTAATAAAGATTAGGTATTAAATGGTCTCTGCAACCATTCCCAAACAAGACCATACCTTTACCAGTAATAGACACAGTCACTAGAAGAGCTGGGGCTAGAACTAGGCCATAACTGGGGTGGGGAAACAGAGCTTTGGCCTAGGGCACTGAAATTTAAATTGCTCTGAAATTTAGAATGCACTGATTACACTCACCTCCTTCAGCAGCACAATTGTAGGAAACTAGTCAACGCCCCATCATCCTTTATGTCTCCCTAATGCAGTGGTAAAGGGTTAATTCATGGAAAGATATTAAGGAAATCTGTCCCAGCAGAAGTATTGGTAATGCTGTTTTCTTGGCACAGCAACTAGAAAGCATTGTTGTTAACTTCTCTCAGTATTACAATCACTTCTATTGTCTGTGCTAATGGTCTTGATGTGGCTGTTATTTTTCTTCTGTCTCTCATCTTCCTCATACCCACTTTTTTTGAAAGACTCATATGCTTTTAAACTGTGAACACCAGAAGCATATCTACCCAATCTGAGTCCACGCAGGGTGATTTTGCCATGTTTCAAAGTCCACGTACAGGTTTTTTTCAGGTATATTTCAAAGAGAATTTCCTCCCATAAGTAGGGGTCTCTCAGCACCATGCTTTGCTTCCTACCTCTTCCCAATCAATACAAAATTGACAGTTACTACAAATCATACTAGGTGCCCAGGTACATCGGTAAACTTAAACCATAAATACTCATAAACTGGTATATAACATAGTAAAAATGTTATTGCATTATCTGAAAGTGAAAGTTTTGATTACTGAACTGAATCCATGCATTTTATTGTATTTGGTTTTTGTTCGCTTGTTTGTTTAGCAAGCTCTTGCCTGTGACATCGTGTTGCAGTCATGGCGCCCAAAAAGAAGACTGTCAAAAAGAACAAAGGAGAGGTCAATGAGATGACAATAATTGTAGAAGACAGCCCACTCAACAAACTGAATGCTTTAAACAGTTTCCTAGAAGGAGGCAATGGATTGAACTGTATCTCATCAGAAGTGACTGATGCCTCATATGGACCCAACCTCTTGGAAGGTTTAAGCAAAATGAGGCAGGAGAACTTCCTCTGTGACTTAGTAATTGGCACCAAAACCAAATCCTTCAACGTTCACAAGTCAGTGATGGCCTCCTGTAGTGACTATTTTTACAACACTTTAAAGAAGGACCCCGCCACTCAAAGAGTGGATCTCAATGATGTGTCACCAGTTGGCCTGGCTACTGTGATTGCGTATGCCTATACTGGAAAGCTGACTCTTTCCTTGTATACAATAGGAAGCATCATTTCTGCGGCTGCCTACCTTCAGATCCACACTCTTGTGAAGATGTGCAGTGACTTTCTGATACGAGAAATCAGTGTTGAGAATTGTATGTATGTTGCTAACATAGCAGAAACCTATAACCTAAAAACCACTAAAGCAGCCGCCCAGAAATTTATCCGGGATAACTTCATTGAGTTTTCAGAAACTGACCAGTTCCTAAAACTTACTTTTGAGCAGATCAATGAACTACTGGTAGATGATGACCTGCAGCTGCCTTCTGAAGTAGTCGCATTCCAGATCGCAACCAAATGGTTAGAATTCGACCAAAAGAGAGTGAAGTATGCTGCTGATCTCTTGAGCAATATTCGCTTTGGTACCATCTCTGCTCAAGACCTAGTGAACTATGTTCAGTCTGTACCCAGGATGATGCAAGACGCAGACTGTCATAAGCTTCTTGTGGATGCCATGAACTATCACCTACTTCCCTACCACCAAAACACGTTGCAGTCTAGGCGCACAAGAATCCGAGGGGGCTTTCGAGTTCTAGTCACTGTTGGGGGGCGGCCTGCCCTCACTGAAAAGTCCCTTAGCAGAGATGTCTTGTACAGGGACCCTGAGAATGGATGGAGCAAGCTGACTGAAATGCCTGCCAAGAGTTTTAATCAGTGTGTGACTGTGATGGATGGATTTCTGTATGTGGCTGGTGGAGAGGACCAGAACGATGCAAGGAACCAAGCCAAGCATGCAGTCAGCAATTTCTGCAGGTAAATGATCTCTCATTATGAAATGAAAAGGTTAATATCATAGAGAAATAGTCTTTGCATAGGAGTATGCTAGCCGTGCCTGGCTTACCTCAGTTCATGGAATCGGAGAATGAAAGCAATCGGTCCAGGGCTAAGAGAACAGGTTGGTTTTGTTGGGAAAGACAGAGATGAATACATACCTTAACGCATTAGGAAGTTAACTCCAGACACTGTTGTTTTTGTTGTTTTAAATGACAGCCTCTCAATCCGTCAGATACATAACTGATGCATCCAACATTTAGCAAAGTGCCTAGCACAGGACAGCTGCTTACTAAATGCTTTTTGAATGATTGATTAATGACAGGGAAAAAAGATGGAATAATTGACATCTAAGTTGATTTCTAAGATTTATATGAAGGGCTCAATAAATTGGAGCAAAACTGTAGAGCACAGATCTCTTATAGGCTTCCAGTTATTTCACAAATGTCATTGTAGTTACATGGTTATTGAGAGAGCAGAGACAAATGTCTTCTCATTATCCTTTCACTTAAATCACATGTATAACAAATCATGCGTGAACAATGGTGCTTTTTAAAATCAAAAGGCATTATTGAAAGAAAAATAAAGCAAGAGAGGAGGAAAGGGTTTCCAAACAGACACACCCTGCTCAGTATAGGAAACAAGCATGAGAAGTCAGTGTTTCACATGCTGGGTGAGCACACTGGGGACAGTTGGAAGTGTTTGTAACCTGAGCTCTTGCAGTTGGAGGCTGTTGGTGACCACACCAATGGAGATTCTTCCAAAGAAAAATACTGATTGCATCAGTTAAGTAATAGGAGAGAATAGGTAGTAACTTTAGGCACAGAGTATCAATGTGGTTCTAAGGGTATGGGAATTCCCAGGTCCTAACCCTATTGTGCAAGTTTTGTAGCTTCCTACGGGTTCAGCCAGTATGTTCTCTTAGGGGTCCCATTGGTTTTGTATGACTGGGGTTGAGGGACTGACAGAGGGACCCCATGGGAGAGGAAGAAGGTACGGTCACGGACAAGGCCGATATCATTTGCTTGGACTACCAGAGAAAATGAATCACTCTTCAGGCCTAGTCAGCATGTACAAGAAGTATCTTTGCTGATCTGTTCTCCTTCCCATATGGTAGCAACTGCAAAAGAAGAAACCATTTTCTTTGAAAATCTCTCTCTTTCTTATTTTAATGAACAGTTGTACTTTTTGTATTCAGGGTTTTATAATGGGATTGTATGGGGCAAAGATGAATATTAAAATGTGAATAAGTAATTTCTATATCTATACTAATTTTGTGCCAGCCAGTCCTACACGGCTGTCCAAAAAAGGGATTTTTGATGTCTCACTCTATTGTCTTTTCCTGATGCATATTATTCAGTACAATTACATATTTGCCCCTCTGAATCATTGATTAAATGACCAGAAAGGGTATCTAAAATCAAAATGAACATACTAATGAATAAAAGAAGTAACATTTAATTCTCTCTTTTTAAGGTTTATGGCAGCAAAATCAAACTAGCTGAAAGACTAGGGCACTGTGAGGTGCACAGGAAGGATGCAAAATTCTGAGACTGAGAAATGATATACCCCAAGCGACAGTCTTCCCTCTTGATGGGAGGGGAGGGTCAATAATTAGCTGTGTTTGGAGGGATGTTTGTGGGGACACAAGGTTGAGGGTGAAGGTAGGAGATTTGTCTTCCTTCTTTCCACTGCCCATAAATATCCAGTATCTTCCTGAAACCTCACAAACATCCCTGTCCTGGGTAGCCTGAATTGTCAGAGACACTGTAAATGAAGGTGAACTGACCATTTACTTTTGTCAGGGCTCTTCTCCCAGATGTCTGTGGACCTGTGGACGGCAGGGCTCCGTTGGCAGCCAACGAGGGAAGAGGTCTGCTGAGTAAAACCACTAAGTCTGAGGTTATATCAAAAAAATGCGTGTCTCATACCTAGTTATTAATGAAATAGATAAAGCACTGAATTAATAGTAAAAGATTGTTGTTATTGAATTGTTTTTTATTGTGTTGGACTCTTTGGGACCCGATTTGGTGTTTTCTTAGCAAAGATACTAGAATGGTTTGCTATTTCCTTCAGCTAGTAGAAGCAGTTGGGTTCAAATATCAGATCTGCTACTTACTACATTTGTGACTTTAGGAAAGTTAACTTCTCCGGCCTCACTTTCTTCATCTATAAAATGTGGGGATTGGATTACATTATATCTGAGGTACCTTGCTGCTCTAAATCCCATGAAGATTTTTGTTTGTTGTTATCTTTTTCTGACATCACAATTTGTTTTTAATGGTGTGGCATTAGCACAGAAATGTTTTAAAATTAGTTTAAATTCCTCAGGAACGACAGAGAAGAGTAATACACTTCTTTAATATTTTCAGATATGACCCCCGTTTCAACACTTGGATACACCTGGCAAACATGAATCAGAAACGCACCCATTTCAGCCTCAATGTTTTCAACGGGCTCCTTTTTGCAGTAGGCGGCCGCAACTCGGAAGGCTGTCTGTCTTCCATTGAATGCTACGTGCCTTCCACGAACCAGTGGCAGATGAAGAAGTCTCTGGAGGTGGCAAGGTGTTGCCACGCCAGTGCAGTCGTCGATGGCAAGATCCTAGTGACAGGAGGCTACATCAATAGCGCCTATTCCCGTTCAGTGTGTATGTATGACCCTGCTAACGATGACTGGCACGATAAGTCTATCCTTAGCACGCCACGAGGCTGGCACTGCGCCATCTCTCTCAGCGAGAGGGTCTATGTGATGGGGGGAAGCCAGGTAGGGCCCAGAGGGGAAAGGGTGGACGTGATCCCCGTCGAGTGCTACAACCCGTACACAGGTCAGTGGAGTTATGTGGCTCCTCTTCAGACGGGCGTCAGCACTGCCGGGGCTTCGACACTCAATGGGAGGATTTACTTGGTGGGAGGATGGAACGAAATAGAAAAGAAATACAAGAAGTGCATCCAATGCTTCAATCCCGACCTTAATGAATGGATTGAGGACGATGAGTTGCCTGAAGCCACTGTGGGAGTGTCATGCTGCACTATTTCTATGCCTAACAATATGGCCCGGGAATCCAGAGCTAGTTCAGTGTCCTCCGTACCAGTCAGCATTTAAATGTAGTGAGAATGAAGAGAAAAGATGCATTCGTATAGCTATGTAATTAACCCTTTGGCCACTTAAAAAAAATAACCCCAAAGGACAGGGAATAAACTTCCCCTACCACGACTGTATTTTAAAATATAATAGTGAGCCATGTAGGAGGCAGAGCAGTGGGAAGAGTCAGGCCACTGAGTTCACAACCTAGCTTTGCCACTTACCTGCCTGTGTGACCTTGGGAGAGTCATTGAATTCCCTGAGATCTGGGTCTCATTTTCCTCATCTGCAAAATGATGGGGTCTGGGTAAGAACGGGGGAAGGGAATGAGTACCTACAATGTGCCAGGCCCTGTGCTTTGCGTTTTATAAAAATTTTCTTATTTGAGATTCAGTTCAATTCAATAAACATTTATTAAGTACCTGCTATGTGCCAGGCACGGTGATATGCGCTTTACAAATGTCATTTTATTTGAGATTCAATTCTATTCTGTTCAATAAACACTTATTAAGAACCTGCTATGTGCTAGGCACTGCTATGTGCTGGGGATACAAAAAGATACAAAGACAGTCCCTGCCCTCTTACTATCTAATGGATAATAACAATGACCTGCAATTCTCATGCCATGATGTTTAAAATCTCGAATGTCACTTAATCTACTGTGGTGACTGGCCTCCGGACCTCATTCACAATTGGAATTTGAACAAAAAACCAGCGTTTCAGCCAAATAAGGAGGCAGCAGTTCCCAAAATGGCCACTGGGTGGCAGATATGTTTGGATTTGTTGTTTTCTGGAACTGTATGAATTATCCAATTCAGTTCTGACTTTACATTAAAATTTAAGAATAATTTTGCTCACACATACCTGCATAGAATTGGTCTAGTTCTATAATATTTTTAAATACTTCGTTTATTTTATGCATATTTTATATTATCACTCAATACTTTGTTGCACATTAGATACAAAACAAATGCTTATAATCACAGGACTCCCATGGAAGCAAGGAATTCATTCCTCCACAAAAGTTACTCTGGGATTTTTTTCCCTTTATTCTAAGCAATTTCAGTTTTGCATATGGAACTTACAAGTTCATTTTTGGGGGGAAAGATTGATGTGCCCCCTTACCTACCTACCTCCCATCTGCTTCCCAGCTATCTATTTCTGGAAAGACTTGAGGCAACTTGATCATAATTTAACAATGTAATTTCATTTTCTTAGTTAGGGCTAAGTAATGGATATCCCGAGGCAGTCTACGTGTAAAAAAAAAAACGCAAACACAAATTGGCTCCATTACCCATCCCTCAAAATGGGGTCTGTTAGGAAAAGAGCAAAGATCCTTTATCAAGACTATAACCCAGACAAAATGGTAGATAAGTTTTGACTTTAATGTTCCTGCATTTGTCTTTATGGGCCCTTTCCTCCATTTGGTAGCCTGTGGCACCACTTCTTCCTCCCCAATTCAGGCAAGTACAGTCTTCTCAACTATCAAAACCTGCTCTCAGAAAAAGGATCTAACATCGGCCAGTTATGCCTCAGTATGAATTTGTCAAAGAAGCAATGTGGGATAGTGGATAGAGAGCCAGACTTAGACCCAGAAAGCCTGGGTTCAATTTTTTTAAAATTAATTAATTTATTTTTAGTTTTCAACATTCACTTCCACAAGATTTTGAGTTCCAAATTTTCCGCCCCATCTCATCCTTCCCCCCAACCCAAGATGGCGTGCATTCTAAATACCCCTAATTCCCCTAAATCCCCTTCCTTCTATCTCCCCCTTTCTCCTATCCCCTTCCCCTTTATTTTCCTATAGGGCAGGATAGATTTCTATACTGGGTTAAAATTTCACCTCTGAAATACCCTGGGTATGTCAGCCTGGGGAAGCCACTTAAATTCTCAGAGTTCTAGTCCACTCTCCAACTCTATAAGTTCTAGAGAAGGTACTGACTTACACTGATAGAAGATCCTTCACCATGGAGTTTCCCATAGCAATGAAATGGCAAGTCCAATCCCTGTCCCTATGAATTTGACAGTAAAAAACCTCTAATTATAGAACAAGAGGTTTTTCTATTTATTCATAAGACAAAATTTGATGAGTCATAAATACTGATCTTAAACTCCTAACATGAAGGCAGTCCCTCTAGTTATTCTTTGGCAAATTGATCACTTGTAATCCTGGAGTTATACATGATAGTGTCTATAATCTGAAACATTAGTGCATCTCTGGCCCAAATAAGATTAAATTGAACTTCAGTCCAGTATTATCATTCCCTAGTCTTCTCAGGGAATGCTAAGAGGCTATTTTTCCATAAAGGCCCCAAACCTCCCATGCTTCCTTTTGAATTCTGCCCATTAGAGCTAGGCCAAGGCTTCTATACTCCAGAATAAAGTTTAAAAAGCATGTCCACTATGTTACTGCCCACTGGAGTGCAAAAGCTTAACAACTGATACAACTTGACTTACCACTTATAGATCCTGGGCTGCACGGGGTTTTTAGTATTATAAACACATGTATTTATAAGAAATAATATGTTAAAGTGTCATTCACTGTATTCCTACATTCTGTATCACATACAGCTGCCAACTTTGCTACCCCTAGTTTGTAAGATGGCAAGACACTAAATCACATGATTACTGAGTCTTAAAAAACTTTTAAATTAACTACTTAAATGAAAATTTCTTCACTTTATGGGTTTTTTTCCTTTTGCTATTATCCTTTTGAATCATATTAACCTGTCTTTTACGTATGTGAAAAATGAATACAAATTCTATGCTGCTTTGGTTTTTGATGCATAAAGCTTAGCCACTCAGGATTTCCATATGAATTACAGAATTTGAGAATTGGAAGGGCCTCAGCAGCCATCTGGGCTAACCTATAACCAGAAGGAATTACCAGATAATATAACTGACAGGTGGTCATCTAGTCTCTGGTCAAAGACCACATGAGGCAACCCATACCTCTTTTAGACAGCTCTAATTGCTGGAAAGTTTTTTCTTGACATCAATCTTAAATTTTCCTTTCTGTAACTTCTCCCTATTGCTTCTGTTTCTGCCTTCTGGGGCAAAGAAGAACAATTCTAATTCCTTTCCAAATAGGTCAACCCTACAAATATTTTAAACACAGCTATCACTGTTCCCCTGAGTCTTCTCTTCTCCAAACTAAATATCCCAAGGTCCATTGACCAATTATCATAAGATATGAATTCAAGGCCCTTCACAATCTTTCTTGTCCTGCTCTAGACACTCCAGCTTACATGGTGCCATTCTTAAATTTTGGCTTTAGCAGTGAGATGTTATCTTTTCCTTTTTGAATCTCCAGTTAAGCTGCTCCATTTGTCTTCTGAATAAAAAGACAGACATGATATTTTATAAAGAAATATTAAAACTATCTTTATCCATCTTAAAACATCTCCCTAGTTATCTCTGGCCCAAATTTGTTTTGTGAATCAAGATAAAAACTGTCTGTTGTATACCATCCCATTTTCTTATACAGTTGTCAAACTCTAAATCACCCAAGGGACAAATTGTTGTCAATTGATACACATTTTCCTATTGTTCATCATTCAGGTTGGAATGTGCTCAGAATTCTACTTTCATTGTTTTGGAAAGAAAGTGTTCTCATCAATTAAAAGCTGTATGTAATTAAAAAAAAAAGAAATACTTAAAGGGTTAAATGTGAGGTATATGAAAAATTATAATTGTGTTTTCATTCATCCTTGGCCCACCTTGTATTGGATTATTGCTGGAAATTGTGGCATTTCTGGTATATTTTTTAAAATTTCATTGAACTAGGAAAACAGGTTTATACTTTGCATTTTCATAGGTCATTTTTATAATGTTGTCCCTTTATGGCATTCTAATCTCTCAACATTTAATTATAACACCTGAAGAGGGGTCTGTGCTTTTAAAAATAAGTCTAAATTCAGAAAGGATGTCACCAACTAAGCAGACTGTCTCTTGTTCTCCCCTCCTATATAGCAGCCCTGGGAAACCTCTCCAAACATAATTCCCCTTGACTTCAAAGAGAGCTCTGCTCCCTTGGTAACTTGGCTGCCAGGGCTGAGTTATAAAACAACACAAGAATCAGGCCTGTTGAGTGAGCTAAGTATCTAAAATGCTTTAAAATCACAGATGGCTCGCCCTATATCAACATTTCTTCTTAGCAATAATGGCAACAGTGGAGGAAATGGGGCTTTTATGAAGTTAGCACAATGGCCGGCATGCTGTAGAACTTGAAACAATGGGACATTAAAATAATGACATCCCACAACTGTGGTTCCTAAGCAGCAGTTTATAAATGGTCAGTAGAGGGAATTGTGAGTACTCTATAATAGAGAAGAAATAGCAATGGCCTGAGCAGCAGTGTTTCCAAATTCCACAAAGGTACATGAATTCTTCTCACAGAAGATAGGACATATTTCAATAAACCATTATTGGTGCAAGAATATCTAGCATTTATATAGTGTTTTAAAGTGCTTTGTACATGTTATCTGATTTGATCCTCACAACAACATTAAGGTAAGTGTTATTATTATTCCCATTTTATAAATGAGGAAGCTAAGGCTCAGAGAGGTAAAAGGACTTGTCCAGGGTCACAAAAATAGTAAATGTCTGAGGCAGAATTTGAACTCGGGTCTGCACTGTGCCACCTTGCATCACAGTTATAGGAGACTAAAATACTGCCAACATACAGAGACAGTGCAGTACAATGGAAAGAGTGCAGGCTCCAGTGTTAGAAGACTTTCCCCTGATGCTTATTGAATGACATCTTTGGGTAAGTTCATTAACCTATGTGGGCCTCAGTTTCCTCATCTGTAAAATGAGAGGATTGGACTAGATGGCTTCCTTCCAGCTCTAGACTTGGGATTCTCTGAATTAGGGATAGACACCAAATATGTGATTTCATTGGTATAAGAAGCTCCCACATGAGAAAATTCCCTCTACCACTGTAGGTAGGCACCTTCCCTGCAACTTTGAGTCACTGAGAGAGAACTGAGGGGATACATGACTTACCCAGAGCCACGTAGCCAGAATGTGTCAGAGGTGGAATTTGTACCCAAGTCCTCCTGGCTTCAAGGCCAGATCCCTATCCATGATGATACACTGCCTCACAATCCTACAAATTAGATTGGAAAATATGTCCTTTCTATCCTTATGTGCAACCCTTGCTGAAGAAATAATTTCAAAGCATCACGAGATGGCTACATAGGCCTAAGTTCACCTCATAGAAGGAAATATCACTGATGATAGCTTTTAGCAGCTATATGAGGCCAGACCACCCTGTGTGTGA